GGGCCCTGAGGCTGTCTATTACCCCTTAGAAATGGAGCTCCTAAGCCCACCTGGCTCAGTCTTCTCTTGGGAGTACTTAGGGATTATCAGTGTCCACGAAGCCAAGCAGGGTGTACATGATGCGTGAGCTCTCCCCTCCTGCAAAGCCCCTTACCCAGCTTGTGTGACCTTGCTCTCTCCTGCCTGATGCTTCCTGACGGGCACCCCGTTCCAGTGGGTTCCTTTATATAAACAACTCTTGGTCACCTACCTGCCTTTGTTTGTGAGGATGCAGCTGTTTTTTAGCATACCGAGGTCTAAGTACTGTTAGCAGTAACCTTTAAGTATTTTCCATTGTCCCTGTTGGGTGTGTACCAGCTACAGGACTGTCGACAGAGGTAGAACAACATACACATAGTTATTCATGACATAGTCGTTTTTCATAACACAACTTCACAAAATCAACCAGAAATCATAAATTGTAGAGACATATTCCCAGTGCATCACAATTCTGTTAAAAACCATACTACCATGGCATTATATAGCTGATTTTTCTTAATGCAGTGTTGAAATGTGCTGATATATGATCTTCCTAAGTGGACCTAGAAAATAGGCCACTAGCAGTTCAGTTGGTAAATCTTTGGTGCTAGCCATGGCAGAACTTTTTAAACAGCTGTATCACTTTTAGTAAGGCAAGTACAGTATCGTGTCAATTCACTCGTCACCAAACTGAAAATTGTAATGGGCCTTTCTCAAACCACCTGATGGTGCTGTTCTCCTGCTCAGCACAAATTTAATAACTGTATATAGCTGAAGTAACGGCCATCACTGCAATGGAGTTACTTCTGGCAGTATCTAGACCAAAATAGTCACCATTGAATCTGGATGGAAAAGGTTCTGAGTTCAGGCTCTAAGTTTCCCAATAGCTGGTGTCACCAAGTGTCATGTTTCAACAACATGGTCACCACCTGCAAGAGGGGGAAAGGATCATTTTAACCCTTTAAACAATAAGGTACTAATGGTGCACTTGTTTATTGGTAGGTTGTGTAACTCGCTCTTCCAACCCTGCCCCCATCCCGCCACTCACACTCTCAACACAGTTGCATCTGTCCATCCTCCCTGCCACTCCCCACCGCAAACTGGTTCTATGCAGTTTACTCCGTAGTCCGGCAATGGCCTGCCTCCTATCTACTGTGCCTCACAGTGTCGTTTTCATCAGCATTTCCTGCTGGTCCTGTTTGGTGAGTGGTACCTTATGCTATGTTGAAAATTGTATGTTCCACAATCTACCACTTGGACTTTAGGGGGGCTTTAAAAGGGGATCAAAGAAAGACGTCACTTGGAATTTCTGACCTCAATCTCCCAAGGGAGGAGTTGGCGTGTAGAAGAGTTTTACTGTCTACAAGCACAGGCTGGTCTGCCTCCTCTTCCATGTATGTGAAATTGCAGCCGTTGCTTTACATCAGTTGTTTCATGTGCTGTAGTTGTTCTTGGCAGCAAATGCATGTGGGTAGAAGGCAAGTAAGAGGACTGTGTGCCCAGGCCACAGCCAAGTAGTGAAACTGGAAAAACGCCATGCAGAAAAAACAGACTTGAACCATCGGTAGGTCAGGCTTGAAATGTGGCTGAGGCATTTGGTCCTGTTGCTAGAGATGTCTGCTAGAAATCACTTTACATGTAGAGTTGTGTTTAACATCAGTTTTTCTGTTGTATAATTAAGTTGTGTTTAAAGGTCATTCTATACTGTTCTTTGAGACAGCACTAACAGGGCCTATATTGAAGATAGTGCTGTGTCCAACTGCCAGTGATTAACATAGAAAACTCGGGAGCTACAGGTAACCCTATGCTCCTCACAGCAGGGCAAACAATTAGTGACTGGGACCCTACAGGGTTCAGACAGTCACGTGTCTTGTGCCTGTACAAAAGACAGACCAGATGAGATGGCCAGAGCAGCATAGGGCCCCAGTGCTGACAACACAAAGAGTTTTGTAAGCATAAGATCATGCATTTGCATGATTTTTGATGTGCGGTGAGGTACTACTACATTATATATATAAAAAATGCCGGTAGCTAGTCATTTAATTTTTCCCCATTCCATTGTTACATCTTAGAGTTCGTGACTGACAGCAGAACATACATACCACAGCTATGGGCTCAATATAAAAGCCGTGAAGAAGAGAGAGAGCGACAATTAAAATAAAAACCAGGATCAATACAGGCATTATTTTTCCCAGGACCTAAAATTGGGATAACAGACAAAACAACGATTCCAAAGAATTTTACATTCATTTGAAGAAGGTTTAATCTAAAGGATAAGAGGTAAGATCGGTCACATTTTGTATAAGAATTCTGTGGTGTAAATTTCTTTTAATAAAGATGAGAACATTCATGGTTTACCAGGTTTACAATCAAATAAATTTTTGACACTGTACATCAATTAATGAATTAGGAAAAGCACAGGGAGTGGTAAAGCTAAACATTGTTTATAATGATCCACTGAGTATTATGATGCCATAATTTCAAATAAAAAAATCAGTATTTATATTGCTCCTCAGAAACATGATATTGTAAAAATCAAAATGTTATGTTAGGTGATGTTTTTCCTTATAAGAATTTTGTTTACACAGTAATTGGCCACAAGACTAGAGCATATTCCAGAACTAAGTATATTTGAAGACATGTGACTTTCTATTAGTACTTCCCCCCCAAAAGGGTCCAGTTTGTCCTTTGGAAAAAGTGGGGGAGGAGGAAGCTGTGCTTTCCCTACTGTTCATATTAAACAAATGCTGCAGAGAGAAGCTGCTGGGGGAGCCAGTTTGCTCCCCCTAAAATAAAGGCAAATGAGCATACAGTGCGTTCTCTGGGATTAGGTTCATGCTGGTACCGATGCAGAGTTCCTCAGAGCAGGTGCAGTTTGCACTAGATGTAAGGCACCTCCCCTCTGTTCCAGACCCAGGCTCTTCACTGCCATGAGTTAGCCCCCACATTGGCAGGCAATCACATGTGGCTTCTAGTTAGCTTCCAGTTCAGGTGGGGCAGCCCTAACCTGTGCTCTGGTCCCCATGAGCCCTGGGGCTGTTACAGCAGCGAGCAAATAGCCAGGTTACAGGAATGCCTTGGCCATACCTCTCCCCACCCCCACTAGAGCTGGGGCCTATCAGTGGAGAAGGGGTGCAGAACTGATTCTGCACATGCTGGCATGACCCCTAGAGCAGCCAGGGAGGGGGCCATACAGTTGCTTTGTATTCCCCTTGAGCCAGACCCCACCAGGCCCTTCTGTGTTTCTGTAAAAACAACACATTCTCCATCCAACTGCAGTTGCTGCTGCCAAACTGCTGTGATTAGAAAGTAATCTAGTATTGCAGATCCTTAGATCGCAAAGTCACAACAACCTAGCCACCATGGTACAGGAAATTTACCATTTTATCACCTTGTAACTCACTGGTAGCATCCACCCCTGAGTTGCTCACTTAGCACAATGCTCTCTCCCCACTAGCAGCACTGACGCTAGAGGCAGATGTGTTTGGAAAGGTGGCTCAGACAGCAGAGAGAGGATTTGGAGCGAGCAGAGTCTAACCCGACCATGGAGGCAGGGGTAGCAATAGGGAAGGGAACCAATAGCAGTTCTCTCTGTTCCTAGGTTGATAATGCATGGGGCCTTTTTTAACCATGGGCTAGAATTCTACCTCTGAGGTTTCCTTTTGCTCTCATGGTTTAGAATATTACTAGCTCCTCTGCCCATCCTCATCTGCCATGGGTAGAATTATAACCTAGCTGATTAGAATTTTTTGCTTCTATTGTAGATGGATTTTTTTACATAGAGGATCATTAAAAATAACCCAAGTCAGAGCTCATGGGAGTTGCTTCCCAGTGCAGTCAACAGTTAAAGTTTAAGCCACAGGAAGAGTACGACAGCCAGAGCTTTAGGACAGGTTGCCTCGATACTTGCTCCTGTGGTAGTGTTCTGCCAGATCCAGTACAGCGTCCCCCCCATTGCAGATCAGGGAGCTAGCACTGAGGTGATGCTGCTTTCACATTTTCTATCATTCCTCATAACTGTTCTGTGCCCTTGGCATCTCTCTCCCCAATCTACAGCTGAAGAAAGGGCGAGAGAGTGGTTAAGTAACCTAGCCCCAGCAACACAGCTCAGCCCTGGCAGAAGTATGATTAGAATGCAGTTGTCCCTGATTCCAAGCCCTGAGTTTACTCTCCAAGACCATACTGCCTCTCTTCTTGCCAGAGAAACAGTGGCAGAATGCTTTAGCCTAGAGGGGATGGAGAAGCATATTGGCTAGCAAACAAAGATCATACGAGCCTCACCCCTACAATGATTAAACAGTGTGGACTGTGTCATTCTAGCAAACGGCATTATAATAGTTTGTTTGGTAGAATCCTTTGCCGTGAGTGTGGCAGTTTCACACAGCGTGGAAATTAAACACATAGTGCACGAACTGCACTCTGCGCTAAAGGCCTTCACTGTAGTGCAGCTTTCACCACTGCTCCGCTCTCTGTCTGTATGTGGAGACCGCAGGCTCCAAGGCACTGTTTGGTTAAGGCATTTCAGACCTCTTCAGAAAGTAGAGATTTTTGAACTCATTCTTTGAAGGGTTATTTAAATCATGCATCTAATACTCTCGTATGCAGGCAAGAGTATGTCCAAGAACAGGTTCATGAGAAGGCAACCCATGGGTTTCAAATAATTTCTGACAGCATAGGGAAAATTGACGGAGTGGTGAAAAGGAGCCCCTCCTCCCCCGCAAAGTACTTGGGTCACTGACCCAAACCACGAAATGACATGTTTATTCAACACTACCTCCATTATTTTACACACTAGGCAGATAATCAACTCTCTCAGAGCAGACTTCAGGGAGTTTATCACAGTTGGTAACCCAAGAACCAACTAATTTTCAGCCATTTTCTTTTAATGTTGAATTTGTAATTTACATCCACACTTTGTTATTGGCCTGGGATCTACCACATTAATCCCCCCCTCCCCCACACACACATTCTTTTACCTTCAAATCCATTTCCGTTCACCACTGAATAAAACTTATGTTATTTCCTTGAGGCGAGGAAGACTAGGAATACATTTTCATAACTCTTATTACAATGTAGCTTGGAATTAGCAATTTAGAAGAAACTGAACCCTCCCCCCTAACAAAGTCTATCCAGAGTGAACTATAGTTCACAGTAAAGAGCTCTGTGGAACACTGTGCCTATGAGCAGTTTCCCAGAATACACTACAGCAACTGAACTTCCCTGAAGCACTGAGCCATTCTCAGCATACACCTGGGTCACTGTAGGTTTTGCAGAAAGAATGTTCTGGATCCGGATTACCTGAAAAGGGAAACGTTACATGCAGTCAATACAGAAGTTATACTACTTTTATAGAAGCTGATAAGAGTTCAGCAGAGACAGGACCTTTTAAATAGTATATTAATTTAAGCTAAAATAGTTAAATTCATAGGCTAGATCATCATAATTGTCCCTTCTGGCCTTAAGATCTGTGCTCTCGCTTAACATAGGTCATAGAATTTCACCAAATGATTCCTGCATTAAGCCCACAACTAGAGCATACTATTCAGAAAGCTATCCAGTCTTGATTTAAAGACTTCAAGTGACAGAGAATCCACCACATCCCAAGGTAAGTTGTTCCAACAGCTACTTACCCTCACTATTAAAAATTTGTACATTATTTCTAGTCTGTATTTGTCTAGCTTCAGCTTTCAGCCATTAGATTGCTCAATACCTTCGTCTGCGAGATTTAAAAAAAAAAAAAACTAATTCAGAAGTCTTCTCCTTCTGTAGGTACTTTTAGACCGTGATCAAGTCACCTCTTAACCTTCTCTTTGTTAAGCTAAATAGATGGGACTTCTTTGGTCTCTTTTCAGACCTTGGATCATTCTTGGTGCGCTTTTCTGAACCCTTTTCAATTTGTCAACACCCTTTTTGAAGTGTGGACACCAGAACCAACACAATGTTCCAATGATTGTCTAAGGTAGCAGAATGCTTGAAGGTGAAAAGTTCCACTGCTATGAAATGTTACAATTTCAGTGTCAACAGATCCCTGAGCTCAGAGTTTTTGGATGATGGCAGCAAGAGTTCATACAAAACAGTTTTAAACCCACAGGATCAGATTTAGCCACTCTTATTCACACTGAATAGCATCGTACTGTGCAAGTACACCCATTGGTATTTTAACTGAATACTTTCACTTAAATCACAGAAGAGCAAGGATTGCAGAAAGTAGCTCACTAAGGGCCATTAAAGAGTAAATGAGAAAGAACAAGGCTAAATTTGTCCTTGTTCTAGTCTCAGGCAATATTTCTTTTACGAATACAATTAAACTGAGCTAGCACCAAACATGTAATTCGTCACCATTTAATTAGACTGCAGCTGCAGAGAAAGCAGCCTGGAATTGATTGAACTCTCAGATGGAGATTTTTTCTGGTGGTCACTGAGGCATTTTAAGAGATGTTATCTGGCAAGGCTCACAATGGTCAAGTACTCAGAGTTCATGCTCTTCAAGTAAATTTGGAGTCTAGCCACGAGGTAGGAGGGAAATGGAGTCTGAAAAGGTTGTTCACAGGTAATTCCTTTTAATATGAAATGTTAGCTAAGGGGTGGGATTTTCCAAAATCACTGAAGTGACTTAGGAGCACTAGTCAGTCCATGGAACTTGAGCTCCCTACCTCAGTTTAGTACTTTTGGAAATCCCACCTTACCCATCCATGTATCACCTTTTCCATGGCTGTGAACTGCTCTCTCTTGGCAGTTGCCATCTTGTAGGTCAAAAAGCAAAGCAGGCTGTGGCTTTTTCCAGACCCATCTACTTTGCACTATTCCTGACCACAGCCCACCCCTTCCCAGTCTTCTTCACTGTACCTACGTCCTGCCCTTCCACCACCCTGCCTGAAGAAGCATCTCCTGCTTCGTGGTTCACAGAATCCAGGGTGAAGTCAGCTCGGGTTCAGGATCAAGGTCCAAGCAGCTGGAGGGATTGTTTCTGTCAGGGTGGCTGAGAGGTTGCAGCTGTGCAGCATGTGGAACATAACTTGTTGGGAAAGTGGGAGTGTAGCCATGATAGGGCAGGGGCACTGGGCAGATTAGACTTTCTGCTCTGTCCTGTAAGCTGCCATGCAGCCGGTCAGTTTTACCACTATCTTATAGACACCAAGATGACACAAATTTAAAGAGGTATCAATATGGAGTTCATAGTTTTTTAGCAAGTCAAGGCATGGCATGTTGCTTGTATGTTCCTGGGAAGGCAGAGGTGAGGATCACAGCTTTGGCGAGTCTACGCTCCAGAGGGAGCACCATCTCCACACACACGCTCAGGTGACCTGCTGAAGTAGTACCCATTCTCCGCCCAAGAACTATATGAGCCCAATTATTCTCTGTGCTGCTCCAGTTAATGTCAGTTTAGCTCCTCAAATATCAGTGCAGTTACTCGAGCCTCGGACCAGAGTAACGAGTGGCAAATTCGTACTTCAGCTGGGATTTTCTATGGGACCTAAATGAGTTACACCCATGACTCCCATTGAAAGTCAGTGGAAGCCAGTTGCTTAACTCCAGCTGAGAAATTCAGCTGAGGTTTCCAAAGGGGCCTTTCTGCTTAACTTATTTTCTGATTCCGATGCATTTAGTTTTACTCAGGAATTTAAAAAAAAAATACTGGGATTCTCACAACCTCAGAGCACTGGTTATTGTGGATTATGACTAAAGATCCTATATGACAGAACTGAAATTTTTCTCCCCTTCAGCTCTGAACAATTAGCATTAATACAGATGTGTTACATTACCTACAGCCACCATTCAGCGCCATTAAATGCTACAGAGATTAGCATCAATAGCTGATTTTTCTGACTGATAGCATTACTACCTTATGTCATCAATATTAGATACAAGCACTATTCCGTAGAAACCAGACTGAAGTATTCCTTTCAAACTCTGCATTGTTCTTCTATTTTGTTTTAGAAGACACACCAATGTCTCGCCTACACACAGATTTTGTACTAGTACTGTATAGCTATTTTGGTTAGGAATATGGAGGGGGGGGGAGTAAATTTGTTTGTTTTAATGGAAGTAATTATTCTAGTGTGGGCACAGTCATACCAGTATAAAGGTACCTTACACCAGAATAGTTTATTCTCCTTCCCATAATGGAATAATCTGTACCAGTATAAACACTTCCATTCTTATATAACTGCATCCACACTTGGGGGACGGAGGGTGTAGTTGTACCACTTTAGTTATATTGTTCTAGTTAAAGCAATACAGTTTTACAGTATAGACAAGGTCTAATCTTCCAATAGAATCTGTCAAACTAACCTCAGAACCAGGAGGATTCTCAGGATCATAGAAGAGTAGCTTCATGCCATTGGGATGACATCCTCCCCAAATATCCCCAGTGTAAGGATCAACAGATAAGTTATCGACTAGCGTGTCCAATTCCAGCACCTATCAAACATGGGAGAACCCAACACAGTGACACACACGTCAAAGTCACTAACTTCATGAATAAAGAGAGGCTATAAATTTATAATCAGCATATTTCTCAAAGGTATTTATGCCTTTCAGTAACACTTACAAAAATTTGGACTGAAACCACCATAAGAGTTTCCCCTCACTACACCTTTTGTCAACATGCACCATCTGCTGTACTGCCCAGATATGAGGGTGATGGGCACATTATAAATACTTACATACTTGCTTCAGCAACTCATTCCAGCTTCTAGAGCTGAAGGAAGGGTCGTCATATTATTAGCCCTAGTCACCTTCAAACCTTATGTTTTTATATAGGTGAGCATGCCGCATTACAGGCACGAAAGTTGGCAGTGCCCCTCCCAGCTAGGACTGACAACCTGAATTAAAAAAGAAAAGGGGAGACTGACTCTTGGGATCAGCAAGGAGAAGACCTGGATCACGTGGAAAGGAAAGCCGTCCTTGGGAAAGTTATCTGCTGGGATGCTACCAGCTGCCACACTGGATCATACCCATGGTTCATCTTGTCCAATATCCTGTCACCAACAGTGGCCCGGCACCTCATGCTTCAGTGTGAAACCCAAGTGTAAGAAGTCGAAATTGGGCAATCATGGAAAAACCTGCCTAGAGGGGTTTATTATCCTTTCCAAAACCTTTTTATTCATAAATAATCTTATCCAGTGTAACTGCAGATGTTCCCATTTCCAGGTAACTATCCAAACAAAGGCCTCTTCCTTACAAATTCCTCAGGGCAGCGGCAATGTCTTTGAATATCTACGTACAATGACATGCATGCCAGTGGCATCATGTACAAATATTTAATATTAAAAATAGATCATCTGCATAGTGAGCTCGATCCTTGCTCCCCTTTGGCTGGGTCGTGCTGCTCCAGTGGCATAAAGTAGCCTTAAAGCTGGTGTAATCAGCCCCTTGAGAATTTTCCCCTAGGCTGGGGACAAGCCTATAGCAGCGGGTACTAAGTCATCAACTCAGAGCCTGGTATAGGGAGTGCGAATAGAACATCTCTACATCTGCTGAGCCCCAGCTGCTGGAATGGCCCTGGAGGAGTGTTGACAGTCTTGGTATTTCAGAGCAGCCCTGAGGTTGCTCTGGATTTTTGCTGGGGACTAGGATGCAGCAAAACCAATTCCAGAATCTGGGGTCTGAGTATGAAATCCCTGGAAAGGAAAGAAAATTGAAAATATGGAAGAGATAAAGAGTTAATCCTGTCTCAGCAGGGTGGACTAGATGACCTCTTGAGGTCCCTTCCAGCCCTATATTTCTATGATCCTTTGTGTGGGGGAAGGGAAGAGACATGAGCGGCTGACGAGACATTAAAAAGCTGGCATTAGAAATAGCTAGGCAAATTGGTCCCCAAATCAGAACATCTGAATTCCTATCTGGAATTGTCACCTGTTAATTCACTCTGCAGGCATTTATTTCATGATCTGAAATTTTACCCAATTTGTGTGTTAACCCCCAGATCCCATTATTAAATAGGGAACAGTAACCAATTTGGGGTGATTTACAGAAATACCGACAACGGGAGCCCCTCAGCTAATACAGCTGTGTGAAATGTGCTACAACCTGTTCTACAGGCCCACAGCAACCACAAGCCATTATTACTCTAGCATACCATACGTGTTGCCACCATCTCATAACACCAGCCTTGTATGCTATGGGCCCAATTATCTCCAGGCAGGAGGGAAGTAACTCCCATTGACATAAAAAGGGAGATTGCCAAATCCCAAGGCAGGAGAATTGGAATATTTATGTTCTGTAAATTGCCCTCTGTTTCCCAGTCAGATACTACTTGCTGCTCTGAAAGCTGCTTTCTGCTTGCAGGCTGCATTAATGAACACTAACTGCATCAATAGGTCGATAGCACCCCAAAGGAGAACTTGATCGGTGCCAAACTCAAGGTTCATTTTAAGGTTGCTGGTATTAGGATGAAGTGAACAATAATAATTGCTCACATGAAATTCCACAGGAATACCTCTCCCCTCAGTGCCACAAGAGCCAACTACAGCCCCCCAGCAGTTTGGTTTGCATGTATATTAACACATTCTCTACCCATAATCAGGCTATGATTGAAAGAGATCTAGGCTCCCTAAAGGGGACACACTAAATTTCAAACATAGATTAGGCTCTTGTTCTAAGTGGCAAACCTCTTACCTTCGATTGAGTTAGACTCCAGTTAGCATGTTTTTCCATAACATGAATACGATGAGCCATCAGGTCAGCAATATAAACATACCTTCAAATGAAAAAAAGTCTATTAACAAGGTATCTACACAGAGATAAAAGTAAATTGATTCTTTATGTGCAAGCCTTGATTTTCAGATGCTTTAAACCAGAGATTGCCATCCTTTGGCACGCGGCCCATCAGGGAAATCCGCTGGCTGGCTGGGACAGTTTGTTTACCTGCAGCATCCGCAGGTTTGGCCGATCGCAGCTCCCAATGGGATGTACTGGCTGCCGCTTCCTGCAGCCCCCATTGGCCTGGAACGGCAAACCGCGGCCAGTGGGAGCCGCAATTGGCCGAACCGGCGGACGCAGCAGGTAAACAAACTGTCCTGGCCCGCCAGCGGATTTCCCTGATGGGCCACGTGCCAAAGGTTGCCAATCCCCACTTTAAACTGATATTTTGAAATATTTATAAAAATTCCAAGCTGTCCATCACAAACTGAACTCAAGATAGATGGCTGAAGTACTAATGGTGTTCCAAGGTGTTTTAATGTAACAACCAGGACCCTGATCAATTTTGTAAAAATACCAGTCACAAATTGTATAAATAGTTAACACTCTGAAACAGGCTCCCAGTACGTGGTAGTCTGTACAAGTTAAATGAACTGTTGCCCTTATTACAATTTTAGAAGGAATTTTATCCATTAATTCTTGCAAGCAATGCTAGCATTTAAAAATTGTAAGTATCAGTTTGGGTAAAAAGTAATTTTTGATATTATTGGCTAAATTACCACCAATAGTTGAATTAAAAAAAATAGAGGAACATACACTTTATCTTCTGTTTATATAATCATTTCAGATTACTTATTACAACCATAATTTACAATGAGCACCCAGTTAACTAACCAAATATAGACCCGGAAGTCAATTTAGACGTCTAACCACACAATCTGCACATGCAAATATTTGCATGTAAAAGTCAGGAATATTGTCTGAGTTTCTTTTCATCATTTGGTCCATCAAATGTATAAGGAGACCAAAAGAGACTTACTTTTTGTCCGGTGAAATGTTAATTCCATTGACTGAGTAAAACCCAGAGGCTACCTCTTTAACTTCTGTTGGACTGTAGTAGACAACATTTGACCAGGTCAAGCCCAAGAACAACTCCAAGTACATCAAGATGGAGTCAAAGAAATAGTGGTCATTAGTAGCATAGAAATGATCAGGTCCCAGAGCCACAATATCATTCACACTGAAATGAGAAGATAGAGAGAACAAATACAGAGGTTTGAGAATTAGTGTTCTGAAAAGTTTTACAGGATTATATTTAAGTTTGGCAAGGATTAAATGTTCTCTTTAAAGAAACATTGTGGATGATTGTTCTTGTATTGCAAGTCATACTGGACTATAGGAGAAGATGAAAGAGATTTCCTAAACCACGACAAGAAATTACGGTAAGTTTTCTGTTTGATAATGTAGGATTCTAAACAGAAAATCTGGAGGCATGTTCATATAGTGAAAATTATAATTATGTATGAAACTGGATTACAATAGAGAAGAGAGAGAGGTGCCATATGCACCTTTGAACAAACTTAAATGGGTATCTGAGGCACTGGTAAACCAGATACCAGCTCATTCCAAGGCTCCTAGGCCTCACTGAACACGGACAAATGCATAGGTGGAAACCAGTCTGGCTCACCTGTGTGTTAGCATTGTTAACCTAGATCAGGGGTTCTCAAACTTCATTGCACCGCAATCTCCTTCTGACAACAAAAATTACTACATGACTCCAGGGGGGGAGAATCAAAGTTTGAGCCTACCCGAGCCCCACCAGCTCAGGGGGCGGCAAAGCCAAAGTCCAAGCCCCACCACCCAGGGCAGGGAAGCCAAAGTCCAAAGGCTTCAGCCCCAGGTGGGGGGTCTGTAACCTGAGTCCTGCCACCGAGGGCTGAAGCCCTTTGGCTTTGGCCCAGGTGGTGGGGCTTAGGCTTTGCCCCCAGGTAGTGGTGCTTGGGCTTCACCTTCAGCCCTAGGCCCCAGCAAGTCTAATGCCAGCCCTGGTGACCCCATTAAAATGGGGTCACAACCCACAGTTTGAGAATCCCTGACCTAGATCTTAAGTTGTTAAGAATATGTTTAGACCTGATGAAATGCTTGTCAGATGTGCATCTACTGATCTCACTTATAGCATCTGTAGCCCAGGGTATAAAGTTATATTGAGTGTTTGCATTGTAAACATCTGTAACTGTGTAACTCAAACCGGAGAGAAGCCATCTCTAATGCAAAGGCTGGCTTCCTACAGGCCACCTTTGAAACCAAATGAGCCATTGTGAGACAAAGAACAAAGACTTTGTTAATTGCACTCCTCACCCTGTCTCTTCCTCCCCACCCCCCACCCCCGCCCTTCCTCCCAGGAAGAGGAGACCTGTGCATGAACTCATCCAACGGCTTGGACTCTGGGGAGAAGGGGATAAAAATCCCTGACAAGGAGAAACAGGGATTCTCTTTTCGCTGCTTGGACTCTAAAGGGGCAGGAATCACTAAGCACAAGCAGAAGGACCCCCCACTGTTGTATTGCCTGAGTTAGCCCTAAAGGATACATGGAGTTTGCTTATTATAGAAGTTTCTATTACCTTTTGTCATCTAAGACTAACTCATTTGTGCATGTATGTTACCTGCTTTAATCTTGTAAAATAACTCTCTTATTTCCTTTTCTTAGTTAATAAATCTTGCGTTAGTTTATTACAGGACTGGCTACAAGAGTTGCCTTTGGTGAGAGATGCGGGGTACAACTGACTCAGGGTACATGACTGGTCCTCTGGGAATGGAAGCAATCTGAATATTGTTGTGATTTTTGGTAGAAGGAACCATCCATCACTGAAGCAGGCTTGCCTGGTCAGCAAGATAGCCCAAGGGGACTGTCTGTGACTCCATGGTAAGGCTGTTATAGCACTTGAGGAGTTCACACTTGTTACTTGGTTGGTGAAATCTAATTACAGAACATAGGGCACAAGCACCGCATTGGTTGTATTTCCTGACTGTTTGCCCTGTGGCTGGACCCCACATTCGTGATCCAGTCCAGACAGTGTGACGTTATCATCCTGAGCGCACTGGTCAGGGTTGGTTCAGTGTTTGGGAGGGTTTGTGACATTCTACTCCCAAACATGGAATGGAGTCACGTAGGACCAGATCCACAAAGGGATTTAGCATTGTAGTGCTCAGCATTGCAACACCTAGCTTATATGTGCCTTGAAAATCACTGTAATACACAAAACGTGAGTTAGGGTATGTCTTCACTACCAACGTTAAAGCTCTGAGGTGAGGGCCCTAGCTGCTGAACTATGAGACGTTCTGATGTGGGTCTCTCTCAATCTCTCTTGTTGAAGCAGTTCCACTTTAATTAAATACTGATAGGGCCAGAGGCAGAGTGAAAAATCACCCTGTCCAGCGACTAGGGCACTCCCTTGAGAGGTGGGAGACCCCCGTTCAAATCCCTTCTCCTCATCAGGTAGTGGGAAGAATTGAACGAGGGTCTCCTACATCTCAGGTGGGAACCCTAACCACTGGGCTAATAGGCTATAAGGGATGTTTGCCTTCTCTTCCACCCCCCATTTGTTTTGCATAGAGTTAAGGGTGTTCTGAGCACACCTACTGGAATGGCTCTTGCAGGCACGATGGGCATTCCCCCGCCTATCTTCAGAGTGGCCTAGGCATCCAAATGCATGCCTGAGGCAACAGTACACATGCCCAGGTGCAGAAACTTAGGTGCCTAGGGGACTTTTACAGCAAAACTGTAGGTGCCAAGTGAATTTAAGTACCCGTGCTGTTAGGCAGGGGTTATGGATTGCCGTGGTGCCTAAAACTGTGACAGACACCTAAATCTGGGCTTTTAGGCACCCACATCCCTTTGTGGTCCAGGCCTTAACTTACAAAGGAGACAGGTGAGAAGTGTAGTAGCTTGGCAGTCTATAGCTGTGAGGTACTGATGAAAGCAGTGGGAAAACATATAAAATAGAAAGGTCCTCTAAGGTTTACATTGCCTTGAATATAAATTAAGCTTTAACTAAAACAGTCTTTAGCCAAATGGAGACGGGAGCTGTGGTTTGGATTCAGTACCTTGGCAGAAGTTCGTGTCGGATAGTTTTCAGGTGTACAAGAGAATTTTCATCTTCTACAAATTTAAACACTTCAACTGTGCTCTTGAGCTCTGGATGATTCGCAACGAAGAGGTACACTGAGTCATCTAAAGAAAGAATGTGGAAAAATTGTTGAGTTTCACAAAAATGACACGGCAGCTTAAATGTCTGTGTCTGGTATGTATCTACCTCCACTGCTGTAGTATACAAGCGCCTTTTGCTGTATTTACACTCAAACACCCCTATGAGGGGGTAGAGGAGGATGCCAACAGACTGAAGGGCCTTCTACTGACAGAAAGAGCCTTTAGAGGATGGCGTGTCTCTATCAGTCATTCAGTACCAAAAAGCTGCAGAACCAGAGCTTCATTTCAGCCCCAAGCCAGTCTCCCTTTTTGGTCACTACTGTGCATTGAGCTAGAAGAGAAATGCTCATTGTACACAGGCTCTAGATGCCAGACAACAAAGTTTCAGTTAAGGCTAATAGCACCAGAACTGCAGTATCTGAACAGTGATGGAGGCATTATATTTCCATACACTGAGTTGTCTTCTCCCACTCCCCTTACTAAACACCATGCCGTAAAGCGTTCAAAAACTGCAATTGGTTACGGCGGCGATATTACAGGGCGTGCTGTGCCTCCAACTCTTTTGCTGTTTTTCTGGGAGTGTGACCTTAGTGATACCTTATGGGTCTCTCCTCTGCTCAAAGGGGAGTCCCACAGCTCAAAGACTGGGTCCCTGGCTTCAGCACCTGTTTCCCACTGGAACTCCTCCACAGGGCCAGCTTTAGGCCAATTCCCCTGAATCGGGCCCCTCGCCTAAGAGGGCCCCATGCCCTAAAGAAGAGCACCTAACTTAGGAGCCTCTTTAATTTTTACTCACCCAGCGGTGCTCCGGGTCTTTGGTGGCGGGTCCTTCACTCGCTCCAGGTCTTCGGTGGCATTTCGGCGGCGGGTCCTTCAGTGCCGCCAAAGACTTGGAGCGAGTGAAGGACCTGCCGCCGAAGACCCGGAGCGCCGCCGGATGAGTCATCCTTGCCGGGGCCCCGTCGAAACTATTCAAATTGGGCCCCGCACTTCCTAAAGCCGGCCCAGCTCCTCCAACAGGTCCAAATGATCTTGAACCCTTGTTGGAGACTTTCCCTCTGGGGAGCTATACAACCAGTGTGTTTGCAGTGACACAAGACAACCTTTCCAAAACAAGCCATCAGTTATTAGTCCGCAGGAACCCAGTGTGCAGGGACATCGTGTTAAAATGGTAAAGAAAAGGCTAAAACACACAACTCTCCCCTAACCTGGCAGCTTTTCCTTCCTTGGTTAGGAGGGTCCCTCTTTGCCCTGGCCTGGAAGACAGACAGCATGCCTGCAGCTGCCCAACAGTCCCAGACTGGAATACTCTTCTCCCAAAGGAAGAACAAGTTCCTTCTACAAGCCCCTTAACACTTATGTCCTTTGTTTCAAGTTCCAGTGAAGGTGTTTTCATGTGTGCTGCCCTTCCCAGTGTTCAGTTTGTGGTCAGATAGGTAATCACTCACCCATATTCCAAGACACCGGGTGTCATTAAAAGTTAATGGTCTGGTGCTGTTCTCCATTGGAGCTCCAAGGTAGCTCTATCCATGTGTTTATAGTTCATTCATGCCAACCCAGACATAAATATGTGACCCCCACCCACTCCATTCAATGCTTATTCCTTCACTCCTGATGTGTCTCTCTGGAGAGAAGCTAACCCCTTGAGACCAAGTAGGCTTAAGCAAAAATACAAAAGTGGTGGGTAAACTGAGTCACACAAAATATGCATAAAAATACAGACATTTCCCACATTCTCCATAGTTTTATTCAATATACGGGGCATATTTCTATCTTGAAGATAGAGTGTGTCAGTTTATAGAAACCCATGTACAATCTCAAACAGCCAGCTCTTTTGTTTTAATATACAAATATCTGCTGGAGCATCACACTTTTTTCCCCTACCCATGTATCAGGTTATTGATGGTGCAACATGGAGTGTGACAGGGATAGCAAAGGGTTTTAACTATAATAAATAATAATTATAAAGCTCTAGGTTGAGATTTCTTGTCTTCATTTAACAGTCTTCTTACCTTTGTCTATGTACGTGCTGATCCCATGAGGGTTAAATGATGCCAGATCAAACCCACGGCTGATTCTCAGTTCTACTGCTCTTGGGTTTTCATCATTCAAATCCATCAGAAATATTTCACCTGGCTTGTCTGGAGCAAAGCTTTTTAACCCTGGATATTTTAAACCCTTTATGATTAAGTAAACACAACAAGAAAGTTAAGAGGATCCTAACAAAGCTGCCGAGACTAACTCTCTGTTTTGGTTTGTGGATATACCTCATGATACAGCAACAACCGTACTAATCTGTCTCTTTCCTGTTTTTTGTTGTTTCATGTTTTCCCTAATCAATTGATCCCTCCTTAACTCTCACTATTCTGCCTGCATCCTCCTCATGTTGCAGCCTACCCACCCCAGACACATTTGTGCACCCTCTGCACCATATGCTGCTGATGTCCCCATCACCACCGAATATTCTCACAGTGCTACTGCCTCTCCACATCCATCTGCTGCTACGACACCCTTCCACAAAGAAAATCCCTCGTTTTGCTGCATCCCAGAGACATCCCTTCCCCACTGTTTTTCTAAACACCCCGCCCCACAAACTGCCACAGCATCCACAGTGCTGCTCCAGCACCCTCATTCAGTGCTGGTAATTCCCCTCTAAAGCCACCAGCCACTACTGCTCTACCCAGAGCCTGTCTGAGCACCCCTGTTTCTTGTGATGCTAGACCCTCCAAGGCATCTACCTTCCCTGTGCTGGTTATCCCAAGACAATGCTGCATACCCACACAGGGCTGCTGCCTCCCACAGTGCAGATTCCCCACTTGCAATATGCACCCAGTCACTCTGTGCTTGGTACTTTCAAAACAAACACCTCTCACCACAGCTTTCCTGCCTCCCCCTCCCCATTCTTCCCCCCCCCCACCTCAAGTGACTTCTAAGGGCCTGTATCCATCCTGTCTCTACCCCTTTTGGCTCCTGACTCTCAGTCCCACATTCTCCCACTTTAACATTGTTGCTTTCAGATAGCTCAGACGACTGCAGCTTTGTAACACCACTACCGTGCAAGGTAATACAGGGAATCTCTGAATTGATCCAGGCTATCTGGTCAAAAAGTTTTCAAAATATGGGCAAACAAAGCTGCAGTGCCACAGTTAAGTGCACCTGAGTGGGTAAGGAGACTACCTAGTACAGTTCCTCTAGGCAAAATCGCAAAAGTTGGCGACACAGATGCTATCACACGTATTGCAATATTGGTTGTTTTTCTAAGAGTGATAGTAGCTGGAATCACATGAATGAGACTCTCAGCATTCATGTAGCAAAACACAGTTCCTAGCCCTCTTGGCTGTGGAGAAAAGCTTGAATATGTGAACCCTAAGGGCTCAATAACCAAGCAAAAAGAATCCAAAAGTTAATTTAAGAAAAAAAAAAAATCATGATTTTTAAGCCAATCTCCTGATTGGGGGAGGCTGACTCAAATGCTGAACACTTTGGGTTGGCAATACATCAGCAGCATGTAAAGTCACATGTGTCAATGTTAAAGGTTGTATAACGATAGCCACAACAACACTGCAAGGTTAAGAAATGAACTTGCCCAAGTAGGAGGAAATGCAGTTTGAGCTAACTTAAGTCTGCATTATTCCCAGGAAGCAGTGCGCAAAAGTGTTCTGCCTGTAATTTGCAGGTATTACTCCTGTGCATAATAAATTAGTACTCAAGCACCTGCATAGGGTGGGGAGGTGGGAGCTCAGATACTTACAGAACTAATGAAAGCCAGACCATCAGGAAGGATGTCAATATCTTCTGCACCTCTTTCTGCAAAAACAGACAGAGAAGTGGTTTATTAAGAAAGTGTTTACTACTCAAATCTTTGCTCTCTCTCACATAATTCCATTTTCAAGAGATAGTAAATCGATACTGTTTTTAGCTACTGTGCTACTCGTAGCATGTGTCTAAAGAATTAGCAGAAGTGTCAGTAGCTATTGAAAATAACAACAGAGCATGAATTCCAAGTTAGTGTTCAGGTTTACCGCCTCTCTAGGATCTAGGCTTGTCTGACAACTCAGACATGTGCTTCCTCCCGCCACCACTGAATTTTGTGTTTGAAAGGTTGACCTCCAGGTGCCCTTCTGTCCTAGCTACCTAGTCCCCTCTGACCCTGAACCCTAGACTACACTAGAAAACGTATCCATTTCTGACAATAAGATCAGCAGCGGAACCAGCAATGAACACTGTTTAACTGCAAGTGTAGACCATAGATTTTAAGGCTAGAATCACCACAATAATCTAGTCCAACCTCCTACATAACAGAGCCCATAGAATTTCACCCAGCGGTTCCAATAGCCCAATAACTTGTGGTTGGCCTGGAACATCTCATTAAGACAGACGTCCAATCTTGACGTTAAGACTCCAAGGGATGGAGCATCTACCACATCATAAGCTGCTCTAGTGGTTAACTGCCCTCACTGTTAAAAATTTGTCTCATTTTCAATTTGTACCTTGCCAGCTTCAACTTCCAGCCACTGGCTATTATAACATCTGTGCCTGCTAGAATAACGAATCCTCTGGTGTCAGCGATCTAGTTTAAGACCCTGATTAAGCCATTCCTCAGCCTTCTCTTCCATATACTAAAGAGGCTGAACTCTTGGTCTCGTTGTAAAGGGTGTTTTTCCAGACCACACATTCTCATAGCTCCTCTCAGGACCCTTTCCCATTTTGCAGGAGACCAGCACAAAACAGATTTCTAAACAAGTTTTTCAAATGACAACGTAAAGATCCTGCAGAAAGTATTGCCTTTTTAAAGAGGAAAACCTCGGCAGACTCATCAATAGAGCAGATAAGAAACTATACCTAGGGCTTTTCCATTCCTGCTGTGGCACAACCAACCTGTGATCCTGGCCAAGCCACTTACTCTCTCTGGCTCAGTTCCCCATCTGTAAAAATGGGGATAATGGCATTTCCTTACCTCACAGGGGTGTTGTGAGGTGCTCCAATACTACAGTGGTGGGGGCCATATACGTACCATAGACAGACTGTGCTGGCAGAATATGCTGGTTTGTGAACAAGTGAATCATAAGTTGTGATCATTTCGTCTCCACTAAAATCAAAGGAGTTCTCCCAAGTTTGGGAACGGAAAATTAAATTACAAGTTTATGAGACGGATAAACTACAGAAAAAGCTACACACTAAAGTGTTCATTACTACCTTAAAGAGATTGCACAACAAATCAAATATTGGCCATTTATTTCTCAACTACCTTCTAGTTAGATAAAGGCGGAGACTACCATTCAAATATTTGTTGGATTAGGTCTTGCTAAACAACCTCCCTCATCCACTGTGTGTGCACAAGAGGGAGAAGTTCTTTTACAGAAGAAATTATTAAACTGTAGATCAATTATCCCACTCTTACAGGCCTGTGTCTACTTTGACCTTTTTCCAGAAAGTTTTTCATTGTTGCTATTGCTCTGAACAGATTTAGGTGGCATGATAGTTAAGATCCCCATCTACCACTGGTGAAGCTTCACTCGGCCTAAGGAAGTCACACCACAAGAAAAAGGTGAGTGGGAAAGCTGGAGGGGCGGGAAAAGCCTTTAAAAGATGCTTTATTTACTAATTGTTAGCAAGAGAATTGAGGTGTGTTTTTAATTTCCTTGCTGAAGGGGTTTCTCCAGTGTTTGAACTAAGCTCACTGAAGCTTATTCCCGTTTATCTTTCATTGCAGAACTTCATTGTAGGATTTTCCTTATTACAAACCCTATCTCTACAAAAAGAACAGGAGTACTTGTGGCCCTTAGAGACTAACAAATTTATTTGAGCATAAGCTTTCGTGGGCTACAGCCCACTTCAGTCTCTAAGGTGCCACAAGTACTCCTGTTCTTTTTGCGGATACAGACTAACACAGGTTTCAGAGTAGCAGCCATCTCTACACAGCATGAAAGAATGCCAAGGGTCAGAAACAAACCACCAAAAACCCTATCACACACACATGGAGGGGAAACATGTTTTCAGTTAAATATGGTGAATGCTACATTAGAGGATTGGTCTGCTTCGCTACAGCCAACAAAAGCCACATAATGCTCCATTGTTACGTCATAGCTGTCAATGTCTGCATTAATAATAGGGTTTTATAGTGCTAAGCAGAGTCAATAAGACAGGGAAATCTTTGAAAGTTGCACTAGAACTTCATGATGTTACCCAAGAGGTGTAAAATATATGCACTTTTTAATAGAACTTGTTAATTGATCAAATAATTTTTACTCTGGGTATCTAACCAGTTCTAACTGCGAAGTGAAAGACAGAGGTCCTCAAATTGTACCTATGGCAGGAAAGGACTTTTAGTATTTTTAGTGTTAATCAAGATTAAATAGTTATGATGTCTGTAAGGTTCATGTTTAAGTACATGCTAAATGTCCCAGATAGCCATGACAGATTCATAGATTACAAAGCCAGAAGGGACAATTGTGATAATCTAGTCTGATCCCTGAAAGATAAGGCATTCAGCACATAAAACCCACTTCTTCAGGCCTCACAAAAGTCACACCAGTCCTTTCTCTAAGTGAAACTCCAGCCTCTATTGAGAAAAAACTTTTATTGCGTTTCACCAACTGAGGCAAGATTTAAGAACACAGCATTTTAAAATTAAGATGTTCTCTATAGCAAAATACAGAATTTCACTGCAAGGAATACGTTTATAAATCAGGTTACATAAAACAGGAGGAATCTGACAGCTATGAGTATTTCTCACTATAGAGCACCAGCATGAGCTGAAAAAACTAATTACTCTCCTATCCATGTGCCCATGAAAGAGGAAAATGTATTAATACTTTTTTGTAGCTGTTCAGGCAGAGTAATGTTTACATTACATATATAATGGGGTACAGGACTAACTGAACTACTTTTCCAATATAGACCCCCATTCTTAATATATTTAGGACAACATCCTAATGAAATTTTGGCAATCCTATTTATGAGCTTGGGGAATCCTCTACCATTAAATAAAGTTTGTAGAGAGCATGGAGGGTGGGAGAAAAGGGCATAGATGACAAAGATATGCACCCATCATGATTAGACCAAGAATGGCCTTTACTTACTGATAGAAGGAAGCCATCCACTACATGCTGAAGGAAAACCACTCGTCTTTATTAGATTAGAACCTTGGCTACAGCCAGCTGCAGGAAGCACGCATCAGGGGGGTGTTGTAAAGGGGACTTGAAGTTCATCTTTGCACTCCCAATCCTACAGCTTCTCTGTGTAGGCAGATCCTCTTGTCTCAAGGTAAAGCAGCCCTCAGGCTTCTCTAAATTTATACCAGGCTACAACAGCTACCAGGGTCCAAAAATGTCGCTAATGATAGGAGTAGCACATGGGAAACCTAGCTAGACACGTCTCTTGCCATGCCCTCTTTTCCCGTGTAACATCAGCTCCAGTGGGTAAGAGGCCATGTCAGCTCTGCAGAACCACAGTATCACACCTACATAAAGGCTGATTAAACTGGCTTTACACTACATCAGAAGTGCAATACAAAGGAGCTGCACCAGCCCACTGGATCCAGCCCAATGTGCACACACTCACACACACACACACACACTGGGTGCAGTTCACAATATGTTTTATTCCCACTACTGTTTCTATCCTGCTCTTAACACTGTAACATGCTCCTTACACACACACACACACACACACACACACACACACACACACACACACAAGGAAGGCATAAAGGGGGGGAGAGGGAAGGGAAGAAACACTCCTGTCAGTCAACCCCCTTCTTGTCTACTGTTGGAAATGGGCCACATCCACCCTGATTGAATTGGCCTTGTTAGCACTGACCCCCCCACTTGGTAAGGCAACTCCCATCTTTTCATGTGCTGTGTATTTGTACCTGCCTACTGTATTTTCCACTCCATGCATCTGATGAAGTGGGTTCTAGCCCACGAAAGCTTATGCCCAAATAAATTTGTTAATCTCTAAGGTGCCGCAAGGATTCCTTGTTGTTTTTGCTGATACAGACTAACACGGCTACCACTCTGAAACCTGATGCTCTGTGTGCATGCACCAGGTGGCTTTATTATTTGTGCTGTTGTAGCACCTAGAGATCTCAACTTGGCATTTCCTACATTTTCTCCATAAAGCTTTGCACGTGTCTCTACAGCAGCACAGATTGGGCAATCGATCCTTCTCAATCAATATTACATGGTACTATACTTCAGTGAAGTATCGCTTTGCTTTTTCCTTTTGTAGGGTCTGGACACAGACAGCATTCGTGGTTAGGGCAGTCTGCTACCATTATACCTTAGTCACCATTACTGCCTGCTGTTCATGATTCACAGTTAGGATCATTAAGCAACTATATCTATTAAGAGTAGTAATGATACATGCAGGACACCTTCCCTGCCAGGGAAAACTAAACCACCCTAGAATTCCCTCTCTGGTGCAGCTCTAACCACTGTTCAGTCCTCAGACAGACACTCACGGAAGACCCAGTCCGCTGTACTCAGCCACACCTATTCCCTCCTGAGATGAACATAACTCATTATCTCCTCTTCTCCTTGCAAACCTGGGAGCAGTTCGCCACACGCCATGCTTTAGCTTCACTGTGAGAAACTCTGAGTAGTGTATAATCTAACTCTCACAGAATACATTATAAGGCACTGTTGGGGAGGGCATTGCCCTGTTCCTGACATACAGGATAAAATCATCAGAATCAACGCCCAACAACTGTATGAGCACAAAACGCACAGACACGGATACTGGACATTTGAGAATATAAAACTTGTTTTATTCTTTTTTTTTTTTTAATGCTCTTCCAGCTGCAG